GGAGAGCAGGGCCCCACCACACATAATTCTTCCACAGGAAGACAAATGCCATTACTCCAAGCATGTCCCCCATCCTCCTTCTTCCTCCCTCTTTATATACTGAGCATGATGTCGTACGATATGGAATATCCCTTTGGTCAGGTTGGGTCACCTGTCCCAGATGTGTCTCCTCTGAAGCTCCCATGCACCCCCAACCCCCTTGCCTGCATGGCAGTATGGGAAGCAGCAAAGGCCTTGGCTCTGTGTGAGCTCTGCTCAGCAGTAACAAAAACATCTCTGCATTATCAACTCTGTGCCCTGCACAAATCCTAAACACAGCCTCATACTAGCCACTGTGAAGAAAGTCAACTCCACTTCAGACCAAACTAGCACACCAGAGCTCAGGGCTCCTGCTCTCTCCACCCTCCAAACTGTTTAATTAAAATAGTGCTAGTGACCCAAAACTGCAAGGATTGTCACCAAGATCAACAAACCCCCGTAACAAACTTCAGACACCAATACACACAAACTCTCTCAGTGCCACAAAAGCAACAGTTCCTCCAGAGGCATCTCAGTAGGGTGGGAACAAAAAGATATCAGTGTTTCCCACCCATTTTAACTGCCTGCACTTGCTGAGCAACACAGAAGGTATGTGAAAGATGTTTTACTTCTCCTTCCCTTTCTCTGAAAGGGAGAGGTCTAGACAGCAAGATGACAACAGTGTCAAAGATGTTATTTTTTAATAACTGTACCACCTGGCAGATTTTGTTAGTGTTCTGTAGCATGTGGCAATCTACCTAAATAAAATTTAAACTCCTCCAATGCCTCGTGTATGTGCAGATAGGAAACGTCTGCACAGACAAACTTTTTGCTGCACAGCTCAAAACAGAACTGGTACGTTTTTCTTACAGGCAGTGAAGATGCACAAATAATGCATTCCCTGAAGCTTTTGGCACTCACTATGGAAAGGACATAGTTCAACATTTTTTATTCTGAAATCAGGGGTTGGTTTGGGCTGGGCTGAACTAGTCCTTGCTGGTCTTATTCATCACCAGAGGCAGCACTGGAAAAAACAAAGCATATTGCTTTCCTTCTTTGTCCTGCTAAGACCTGTCCCCACACAAGCACTGGGAACAAGGTAATAAAGAGCCTTGCCAAAGTGGCACAGTGTTAGTCTCAGGGATACTGCAGTTATACTGGAGTCATACTTACGATGAATGTGACAGCACAGCAGCATCAGAAACCCACATGCACCAGCCAGGTGGAAAGGGATTCAGTTCCTCTTCCCATGCTATTATTTATCCCTCTGCATGGGCTACATGTAGTAAATGCAATGTTGCTTTCCAAATTCATGTGACATTTCAATTTCAGAGACTGATTTTAAAAAAATTGGGACCCCCAAAATACACAACTCCCAGAAAAGTTCTGGCAGTTCTGATCACTGTTAGTAGTCTGGAGCAACAAGAGTTACAAACCTGGGATGTGAAATATGATGAAGGATTGGCAAAGAGAAAATATACTTTAAAATGAGTAAACAATTTTTTCCTGACACGAATACTTACTTCAAGTCAAAAGAATAGAAGACTGGGATCTAAAACTCAGTAAAATTACAGATCAGAACATCCTAGCAGATAAACAAATGTAGAATTACATGTCTGTTTCCTGTGAATACTGGATACTCACTTTCCAGAACTGACCCCCTTCATATGATCTGTGTAGATATAGATGTCTGGGAGGAATTTATTCAGGATGCCCCTTGCAGACTCCACCATTCTGTTTGCCATCTGTGGTGACACTCTGACAGAGTATCTACATTTCTGAGCTAAGAAATTCATAGCGGTTACAAAAGAAATTGAAATCAGAGACTGACAAAGTGCTCAAGAGGTTCCAATGCATTATTTCAGAAATGTGGTTTTATGCTATACATCTGCTCTTAAGTGCTGGTCTGTGTTCCTGTACTGAGAGATGCATATGTGCCTAAGTGCTTTCTACAGTGTTTTCACTGATATACCTTAAAGTGAGGTACACAGAACACGTGTCGAACATGTTATTGTGACTAGGTCTGTGTTCCTGTACTCAGAAATGTGTATGTGCCTAAGTGCTTTTGACAGTGTTTTCACTGATATACCTTAAGGTGAGGTACACAGACATGTTGCTGAACATGTTATTATGACTAGGTAAACATCTATCTCGAAAATGCCCTTCAACAAGTTTAAGCTGCTGTTCTGTCATCTTGAGCTTTTTTATGATGAAAGAAGTGTGCTCTGCTCTTCATGTACTACTAAAACATGGTCATGAAGTTTCTGTGAATTAGCAGCAAGAAATCCTGCCTCTATCAGCTAGAAATCGAGAAGACAAATAAGAAATTAAAGACAAATGTTTTAACAACAAAAAAAAAAATTAAAAGACTGGAAGAAAAATACTTTGCTCTCTCTAACTATTTTGCAGTGCTGTAAGGCTGTCAAGTTCACTGGTTCTCCAGTCACTCAGCATCTGAAGGTTTCAGGAAAGAAGAAATTACAGCTTTCCTGCTCACCCTAACCCACATCATCACCGTACACAAGAGATGAACTGCCTTTCTGCCCCTGTACAAAGTACACTGTGCTCCAAATTCCATTGCAACTATAATGCAGACTCATGCTCTGCACATTTAACCACTCATCTGCACATGCATTCATGCAGCGATGCAGAGAAATACACTCTCGAAACTCCCAGAAAAGAATTTCCTTTTCTACAAATGTCTATAGCATGTGGAGTAAGTAAACCAAAAAAACCTTTCAGACCTTAAGGGCAAAATCATGAAATAAGAATCAGAAAACTGATTGTTCTGCATAGTTGGTGCACTTAGTCTTTCGGATGAATGTAAAAGGTCGCTGCAACACAATCTCCCTAGCTGTGAGGAAGCATATTTGCTCAGATGAATCTTGATGGAAGAAAAATACACATTGAAAAGACCTAAGGACTTATCCTCTCAGATGTTTTGTTTTCTAGTGTCTCGAAGGACCACTTAATGGCTAAACTAAAATGAGACTGCCTCTCACCTGGTTTAATAGAGGCAAAGCTTTATCCCTGAAAAAAAGCCTAGGCAAACCTACAGAAAAGCAGAAGTTCAAAAACCTGTAGTTCCCATACATCATGGAAAGACCATGGCAAATACAACCAAAACCACAATGAGCTTTTTGTTCTACAGCATATGCACTCAGTAAAACTGCTCTTGCTTGGCAATACTGCACTCATCCAAAAGCTGCAATTGGAAAAGGGAGTCAAAGCATTCTGTTCTCTCACGCAATTATGATGGTATGCCACAAAGTAAGGAACAAGCTGCAAGTCTACACCTCTGACATGAAACT